TATTATTATAACTAATAATTATAGTTATTAATAATTTTTAAAATTAATTTTTTATTATAATGATGACGACGATGATATGATGGTAGCTATATCTGTGCCTCCCCCCTATTTGTACACAAATTCGAGTCAAACAACGAGAAGATGGAAATTGGATGATAATATTAGGTATACATTCTTCGTGGCCCCAAAAAGAGGGTACATATTCTTCTAGTCCACGCAGCAGAGCCCATGACTAGTTCATTCAAATGCAACTGTTTATATTATATGATTATTAAGGTTGTTTTATATAGACCTATTTAGACTGAAAATGGGTATAAAACTTTGAAAGACCCATGAGACCCTTGACCTGGTCATGGTGCCAGATCCTCTCTAACCACCCAACTTGGAGAAAGGGTAGAAGTTGATGTCATACGGCTTATTAATGAAGGGCTGTCTAAAGGTGTTAGGTAAGCAGGTTAGGTTTTACAAGTTAACGCCCGTGCTTGTAGTGTAGAATTTTTGTTTTTATTATTTTAAAAATATATAAAATATTAATTAAAATTAATAAAAATATATAAACAATAATTACAAACATTTATATTAAACTTTATTAAACGAAATCTTATCTCATGTTTGACTTAAGAGAAAAATTTTTTTTAAAAAAAATTTAATTAATTAAATTATAATATTTTTTGATAAAAAAATCCTTTTTTTTTATTTTTTAATGAAGTGTTAAGGGTGGGATTCGAATTTCAAATCTATCAAAAGAGGGGAATTGCACCTTTAAAGTGGTCCGAACATTCGGGTGAAAAAAAAATCTTTTCTTCTTTTCTATGTAATTTTCAAATCAAATATACTAATAAAGCGCACTGGTCCTTAAAACCTAATGGCATAGCCACTGTACATTCTCCCTCCCCCGGCAGGGTTCAAAACCTGCCATTGCAAAATATGTTAAAAAAAAAAAAATACTAATAAAGCAATCCAAAGATGAATTGCGGCCTCTCTCCTCTCATTCTTCCAAAACCAGCTGGTTTCTAGTTTACCCGCTGGCCACCAATGGTCATGTTGTTAATGCGCAATTGTATTTATCCCTTATGTCGAAATAGTATAATTTTTTTCACATTTTCTTAAATTAAAGATTTAAAAATAATTTATGTCTTTATTTATAGTACTTTTATAAAAAAAATAAAAAATAAAAAAATTGTAATATGATAAATAATTAAATTAAATAAATAATGATAGAATTAAAGTATTAAAAAAAGTTTAATTACCTTAAAAATTAAAAAATAAAAGTTAATTTAAGATAAAAAATAATACTTATTTTGAAATGAATGGAATATAGAAAAATATCTAGGTTTATTGACACATTGCAAAACATCTAGAAATACAAGGTTTATCCAACTTCTGAACTTATTCAAGCAATAAAAAAAAAAAAAAAAACATTCGTACAAGATACAGCTTGAATTACTATGGTCATAGATATAACATTTAATTCAAATTTTAATTATTTAAATATTCATACAAGATATAACTCAAATTACTATGGTCATGAATATAACATTTAATTAAAATTTTAATTATACAAATATTCAAACAAGCTATAGCTCTAACTAGAATGTCAAGCATCTATACATGTTGCCATCTTTACACGTTCATACTATATGCATCAAATTAAGATTTAGTCAAGAGAGTCAATTTCATGTCGAAAACATGTTGTCATTCAACTCCCATGATAAACAACACCAACACAGTAAATTTTTCCCAAATTGAAAATCTCCGAGGTAGGAACCTTCTTCGGAAGGAGGTAAGGAAGGTCAAGAGTTGGAACGAAGAATCAAAATGTATGACTGAAAAAACGGGAAGCTAGAGGGAGTGGACCGCGTGGATTTACCAGCAAGACATCGCCTGTACGTATGTGTGCTTGCCACGCACGTTTTCTTCTGTTTCCACTAGTCGGCTTTCGTAACGCGATTAAAATCAATTTTGAGTCCCTCATTTTATAAAATTAGTAAGTTTTAATCTCTAACTTTATAATATGACACTTTTAACTTTTTACCTCACAAAATTAGTTGGTTTTAACCATTCACTTTATAAAATTGATAGATTTTAATTTATCATCTTATATTATGACACTTTTAGTCATTTATCTATACGAATTGAAAAAAATAGTCCTTATTTAACATCAAATTATAATATTTTATTAATTCTGTTAGTTGATCAATTTTAGTAGTTGACTCTTAGTTCTGTTAATTGACTGTTAATATTCGTTAGCATTTCGTTAATGGAACTACTAAATAAAATTGAATTTAAATTTTATATTTTTTATAACGGAATACTAACGAATATTAATAATCAACTAACAGAATTAACAGAATGTTATAATTTGATGTTAGGTGTGGGTTATTTTTTTTAATTCGTATCAATGAGAGGCTAAAAATATCATAATATAAGGTAAAGAGTTAAAATCTATCAATTTTGTAAAGTAAAGAGTTAAAATTTATCAATTTTTTATAAAGTAAAGGAATAAAATTATCATATTATTAGGTAAAAGATTAAAATTTATTAATTTTATAAAATGAGGAGCTAAATGTTGGTTTTTGGCCAGTAACACAGATACTACTTCGCTCCTGCTTAGCTAATTCCTTACCTTGCTTTCATACTTTCACTGTTTCACAGTGCAGGACCACAAGCCATCGATTCTACGCGCCTGAGGAGCGTGCTAATTAGTCTGACGCGCGTTTTTTCTTGGGGAACAATCTTATTGTTTTTTTTTTTTTTTAATTATTGATAAGAGTCAAATTTTATACTAATTAAACTCAAATATTAATGTTTAGGGATGAATTATTAGATTCAAAAGCTTAATTCTATTGTTAACTAATACTAACTCTTATTTTTTAGTGTTATTGTACTTAAATAACTCTGTATATTATAGCTATTTTATCTTAAAATATATATATATTTCTATATAGTACTTATATATGTTTGCATATTCATGTTGTATTGTATATCAAAATAATTTAAAGTAATTTGAATTATATCCTTAAACTTAATTATGCTTAAAAAAAACTTAATTATGCTTAAAAATAATAAAATTATTGATTGTAAAGGTAAGTGTTTGTCATTTAACTACTTAGGTTTTATGGTCTTAATTGTAAAAATTGTATTTTTTTATCATAATTTTAAATATAAAATATTAGAATCATATCCTTGTCAGGATGTAATACAGAGTGATTTAGTTAAGATTTTAAAAATTTATAAATAAAGACTTTAATCGTTAATAAAGAATTTTCAATCTTGATTTTGGATTTGAGGTAATATTTTCTTCTATATTTATCTTCTTCATCCAAATATTGACTCAAATTAAAGGACTTTATTTTCATGAAAAGGAATTTAATTACTACTAAATCACTACAATAGCAAAAAACTATTTTTTTCTTGTTGATGAATGCCAAGGCCAACAACTAAAATTTTTTTTATGAACTGGCCACTTGCTATAATCTTAATTTATTAAAAACATTTTGAAAATGCATAAATCTCCAAATAAAAGGATACTTTTTCCTAAACCTAAAACAAACAGTTATCTATACTTGATAAAAATACAACCAAAGTGAGATTTTTTGAGAAAAAAAGTTGGCCAGCAGAACAAAATTATGCGGCTACAACGGTGTACTGCACGCGCGCTGGTTGCAATTCGAGTATCAGTCCTAATACTACCAAAAGTAGGACTATGATATCTAGAAGTGTCAAAGAAGATGCAAAGACCCTTGATTTTTTATAAATAAATAAATAAAGAAAAATAAAGGAGGAAAGACTTTCGTTACCATGTTTGATCCGTTACGCGGTAGGGTGACACTAACGTGACAAACCTGGCGGCCACATCGTTTTGCCCACCAATTTTCCCCGTAATTACATAAACACCACCGATGTTACTCTTTTTCTTAACCCGCAAGCACAAAAGGTTGAATACATCTATAAATATCACTCCACCAGGGTCACTGCTATTGCATCCTAAAGTTGAATTTCCCTTCCGAGTTCCAACAGTAGTAGAGTCTTTGAGAATCTCTCTTACGTTCAGATAGACTTCATACTCCGTTTTCATGAAGAGAGATAGATCTGAATCTGAAGAGATCGAGGCCGCAGCCATGGCCAACTGTTTGATGCTTCTTTCCAAGGTAGGCCAAATAGAGGTGGCGGCAGGTGGTCGTTTATTCACTTGCAAGACGTGCAACAAGCAGTTCTCATCGTTTCAGGCGCTGGGTGGACACCGTGCCAGCCACAAGAAGCCTAGGTTGTTGGGAGGAGAGTTTCTGGAACTGCCAGTTTCTCCAAAGAAACCGAAGATACACGAGTGCTCGATTTGTGGGCAGGAGTTCATGCTTGGTCAGGCTCTGGGAGGTCACATGAGGAAGCACAGAACGTCTGCCGAGAGCGATGTGTTGAAGACTCGTCGTCCGGTACCGATGATGATGAAGTCGGCGAGCAGTAAAAGAATTTTGTGTTTGGATTTGAACTTGACTCCTTTAGAGAATGATCTGAAATTTGTCCGGTGAAGTTGGCGCCTGTTAATTGATTGCTTCATGTGAAAAGCTTGAATTTATGAATTCGATTGGTATCTATTTATTTATTTTTTTTGGTACACAGATTTTTCATTATATATTTTTCCAGAAATAGGAAGCGGATTTTTAAGATTCACAATTGGTGGCAGTAATTAATTTTTAAATTTCATTTTTTTTATTGTTATTCTTTATCCATTTTATTTTATTTATTCATCTCATCAATATAGTTTTCTTTTCTAATTTGTTTGTCTCTAAAGTTACATGCAAATATCTCAAAATTAATAACATGTTCATTTAAACTGGAAGAAGGGCTGTATCTTAAAATTGATCATAGAGAAATTAATCTTTTTTTGTAAAGGGCATTGTATAAGAATTAATTTTATGATGTATGAAATTGATGTACAAAGAAACTTAAAAGTTGAGAAACCATTGACCATCCAAAAGAAAACTGATGGTTCATTTACTTTTAGTCCAAATTGTAGTCACAATCAATTTTAATCAATGTATAACATAAAAGATTATTGATAAAAATTTAGTTAAATTGACACTTATTAATATAAAAATTTTAATTTAAAATTAAGATCAAAGATTTAAATTTGTTCGTATCAAGTAAATAAACCAGTAATATACCAAAAATTAACATTAAAAACTATTCCAACCTAATATCCTAATATCTCATACAAGGTGTTACCAAGCATCAAAGATATTCCTTATCAATTTTTTTGTGTTGATTAAAAAAATTATTAAGTGTAATTCATCTTAAACAAATTGCATTTCGCTTAATTATTTATACAATGGACTGCACTTGAAAGGCTTCTGGGAAAATCCTTTTTGTAAAAAAAGAAAAAGAAAAAGAAAAGACTTTACTTCTATAGTATACGAGATTATATAGTGGCTGTGTTATCTTCTCCTTGACTTTATTAACGAGCAATTGTGACTGTATCCTATAGATTTTTAATTTATAAAAATTATTAAAAAATTCAAAATGAAAGTTGTTAAGGCTTTATTTACAACTGCTTTTCAAAAAATAAAAATAAAAAAGTTAGTAAAACAGCTGATAATTAGCTGTTTAGGCAAAAAAAGTTACAGTTCTGTAAATAAATAAAAGCAGCTAACTTATCTAATTTTCTTATTTTATATTTTAAATTAAATTAAATTGTAAGATATAAATTTTTATACGAGAGAAGAATCCTTAATATCATACTTTCGTTGTAAAATAATTTTCCAAAATTAAATACACCTTAATATTATATAATCATTTTTTTATATTAATTCTTAATATTCAAGAATGATATTAATAATCAAATTAATTTAGAACTGAATTAGTATAAAATTTTATAAAGTAAATCTTTTTAAAATCTATTTTTTTATTTACAAAACTTTAAATTAAAATTTTATTTAAGAAATCAATTTTTTTTTACTTAAATCATCGGATTATTAGTACTATATAATTATTTCAAAAAAAAAAAATGTAACACGAAAAGATATCTGCATTCTACAGCGACAGAAATGGTGAAGAGCACAAAATGCGTGAACCGGGAAGCGCTTTCGTTCCGGTATGTGAGGCGATTATCAGATAAGGTCCAGCCCAGAGGATACAAGGAATGGGGAGAAAGACAATTATCCAGTAAAAGCCAACGAAATCTAGCCACGTGTCATCCAATCCAATGGCGGTGCTATGGTCGGTTTGTCTTTTACTCGATTTTGACTCGACCGCATATCAGTCGGTAACATTACCACGCGTCCAGACTTATATTGATATCCTGCAACTGTCCGTTCAGGATTCTCTCTCACTAGATCCAAGGTTAAAATACCAATTTAGTCCCTAAACTTTTATATTTTTTCAAAATTATCCCTACACCTTGAAAAATACTAAAATTGTCCCTAAACTTTGATTTTTGATCCCAAAAGTCTTCAAACTTTGACAAAAAAGTATCAATTTAATCTTAAAACTTTGAAGGCAAGTACCATTTAGTCTTTGAACTTTAATTAAAAATAGTAATTTAGTTTTTTAACTTTTGTTATATATCAATTTAATGTAGAAATAAAAATACGTTATAATGATAAAATGTAATTATTTAATTTTACTCATCATTAGTATTTTAAAAAATAATTGATTTGTGGTAAAATAATGAGTTATATGATATTTTTGTTAATAAAATGATTATTTTGGCACTAAAAATTTAAATTTAGAGATAGTTTTAATATTTTTTAAAGTTAAGAGACAATTTTACTGCAAATTTGAAAGTTGAGGAACCAAATGGGCATTTAAACCTAAACCAAAAGGCGGAAGACTGACTGATTTATTCGGGGGTGGGGTTCACTTAGATCAACGGACAGAATCAATCGCTCAGAGCACACGTGTACGCGGAGGATAAATATAACTGTGGGGTCTCATATCGTGCGGTTGCAGTCGACATTTTAGTATTCCTTTGGACGGGCGCAAATCAGGTGCTCCTCTCACACCATATCCAATAAAACGACTCTTCCCTGTACGGTTGCCGATGAATTCTTCGTTCAATGAGCGGCGATCGGCCGCTGTGTTCGGTTTCCGGCGACGGTGAAAGGTACGCATCGTCGAAACTCTTCACCTTGAAATCATTTCTGCCGGTATGTTTGTCCGCTGATTTCTCATAATTACCGAGCTCGACAGAAGAGTTTGATTTTCTCACATTTTATCAAAATTTCTTCAGCTAGTTTTTCTGTTTGGCTTTCGTGAGGAAAATTTTCTAGGTATTTTGAGTACAAGACGTTGATTACGAATGAAATTCGTTGGAGATTTTGTTTTGCGGTTGTTTCTTAGATTTTCTTTTTCGGTTTCTGGTTGAAGGACTTGAAGAATTTTCTGTGAACTACATTATTTCTAACTTTCGCATTGCGGAGGTAGCTGTGAATTTGAATGTTTGTAGCAGTCCATACGTACTTCGTTTAGAGTGAGAGAAGAGAAGAGGAAGGCGAAAGTGGAAGTGGAACTACAGAGTACAGTTTGTCACTTGCGCTGGAACAATTGAGCAAACGATATGGTATGATATGGATTCCTTTCTGAAGTTTTGATACCGTAGTAGCATTTGTTGATGATTTTCTATCTTGTTTATTTTTTGGTAATTCTTTGGTGCTCTTTATTTCTTCTTTGCTTTTTGAAGAAATAAGTTGGAATCTATTTTAGCTTTGTTATTTGAATGTGCATTACTGAACACTTATTTATTGCATGGTGAAGAAGATTTTTATGACTTTATCTTCATATTATAATATTCAAGTTTGTAGCATAATTATTTTTTGTTTATTTTAGTGTACTGAGTTTTATCTGCTCTGGATTTAACAATAAGAAGAATGGATGTTGTGTGTAAGAAATTCTGTGGAAATTTAACTTTCAATTTATGGTGATCTGGATCAGTTGAGTGAGATTTTGGACTGTAAACTTGTATTCATGAAATTAGTTGGAAATACTATCCTTACAGAGTTTTTGACTGAGCTCAATTCTAATTCATGTCATGCTATGATTTCAATCCTTTTTGTGTCTTGTGGGGAGGGCCAGCTTAGTTTTCAGATTGTTTAATAAAAATGCTTTATACCTGTTTTTGCAACAAGACTTGCAAATTCTTATTAGGTTTTTGTAAAGTCCATCTGGAGTTAATGAGTTATGATGTTTGGTTTGAAATGTTTGGGTACCTGAGATGAGTGTGTTAATATAAGATTATGATGTAATCCTTGTATCAGAGAGTTATTTCAAAAGTTCAACTGCTCTGTGACTAGGGCTTTGCTTTGTTTCCTTGTTTTAAGCAAGCAACTTCTGATTTATTATTTTTGCAGTCTTTTGAGAATAAGAGTTTATGGATGTTAAAGGGTTCTGGGCCTGGTACTGATGGGGATGCTGCATTTGATAATCCTTCCAGAATTGAACCAAAGCGGTCTCACAATTGGTTTATTGAT